AGTCATTGAATTCTTGACAGCAGAAGGTGTCACCCCAAGGAGATCCATCAGGGAAGCTGTTTATGGTGATTGTGTTGATGTGAGTACAGTGCATCATTGGGTGAAGAAGTTTAAAGATGTTGAGGTGGGAACATCTGACTTGCGGGACAAACAAAGAGTTGGACATCCTGTGACAGCAACCACTGAGTTTCACAAACAAAAGGTTGACAAGATTGATTCAGGATGACGATCGTATCACTCAGAAATTTCAAGCATAATTGGCATTTCACAAGAACGTGTGGGTCACATTATTGCTTTGCTTGGCTATCGGAAGATCTGTGCACAATGGGTACCCAGGATGCTGACGCCTGAAATGACAGTGCACAGACTTGAAACTTCAGAGACTGGATCTCACTAACGTACGACATCCTCCATACAGTCCAGATTTAGCACCGTCTGACTTCTATTTGCTCCCAATAATGAAAGACGATCCGTGGAGACATCGTTATGCTTCTGAGGAAGATGTTGAGAGAACTGTGAGATGCTGGTTGCAGAAACAGAGTGTCGACTTCTTCCGTGATGGCTTCAGGACAATCGTCTTATCACTCAGAGAGAAATTCCAAGCATAATCGGCATTTCACAAGAATGTGTGGGTCTGTGCACGATGGGTACCCAGGATGAGAGAACTGTATGACGCTGGTTGCAGAAACAGAGTGTCGACTTCTTCCGTGATGGCTTCAGGACAATCGTCTTATCACTCAGAGAGAAATTCCAAGCATTTCACAAGAATGTGTGTGTCTGTGCACGATGGGTACCCAGGATGAGAGAACTGTGAGATGCTGGTTGTGGAAACAGAGTGTCGACTTCTTCCYTGACGGCTTCAGAAAACTTGTTCATCGTTGGCAGAAATGTATCCAATTGTCTGGTGATTATGTGGGAAAGTGAATTGTGGTTGTTAAAGAGCATATTCTARGGATTATTTCTGCCTTTGATTTATTAAAATATTCCCATCCAAACCCAAGTAACAAAGGTGGAGATARTATTTTTCATTCAACCCTCATATGTTTTCATTCTGGCAACCCTAGGCTTAACACATATATTGTGTCTCTTATGTAACCCATAAGCCTTGACCTAGTTGGGTTCCTGGTTGCACAGAAGTACGCTGCAAATGCAAAATCCTTTGTCACAAATGCTTGAGAAGCATGGGCAGTGGGTCCACTTCCACCCCTGCAGTTGTTGTACATGTAGAGAAGGACTCCTTCTCACAACTAATATCTGCTCTTCAGTTAAGTTAGTTTGTTTACCGTGGGCCTGTTATAAATTACTATAAGAAGCCATCCACATCTGGGATTAAGAGGAAGGACTTGAAGTTCAGAGGAGGTCATGTTGGCTGAAGAAGGAGGCTCCACTTGGACACTGAGACCACATATTCCGTTGTTGTTGTTATTTGTTGAACAGCTCTTGATTTTACAGCATGAGTTTGTCAGGATGCACTCTACTTCTTGCTTCCCAATAAGATCATGTATGTTTGGAGGCCCAAAAGAAAAGGTTATTTTCAGTGTATTGTGGGGTTTGCAGTGGCTCTCCTCAGTTTCAGGAAGATACCTTGCATATGCAATGCATATACGCAGTATCTGACAGATGGAAGATAGATTTGTTTATTGATTAGTCCTCTGACCGTATCAACCGTAAAAGACAAAAGATACGGATTGAATGAAAAGTAAGGCCTCCATTTTCGTAACTCCTCAACAAATCCCTATATGCTTCCCGTATCTGTCCGAACGTATTCTCCCCTATGAACCATCAAGGACGTTAAGATCTTCCGGAGAGGCCCTGCTCTCGGTCCCGCCACCTTCGCAAGCGTGTTTGGTGGGGACGAGAGACAGGGCCTTCTCTGTGGTGGCCCCTCGGCTATGGAACTCTCTCCCAAGCGAGATTAGATCTGCCCCCTCCCTCTTGTCTTTCAGGAGGCTAGTGAAATCCTGATTATGGAACGAAGCATTCCCAGAATAATGGCTGAGACTGGTTACAGACCAAAGTGAGTGACCACATATGCCGACTGAGTTGAACATGATTTTACCTTGGCGATTTGGCATATATGTATTTTATCTATTTGTATTTTAATCTTGTATTGTTGTATGATGTTTTAACTTGTATTAGTAGCATTGAATCCTTGGTGTAAGCCGGTCTGAGTCCCTCTACGGAGGTGAGAAGATCGGGATATAAAAGTTTTAAATAAATATCTCTATATAAATAAAAATGTAATGTTCGTTTGTGGGATTAACAGAACTCAAAAACAACTGGATGTATTGACACCAAATTTGGACACAAGACACCTAACAATCCGATGTATGTCCTTCGCTCAAAAAAATTGATTTTGTCATTTGGGAGTTGTAGTTTCTGGGATTTATAGTTCACCTACAATCAAAGAGCATTCTGAACCCCACCAATGATGGAATTGAACCAAACTTGGCACACAGTTTTCCCATGACCAACAGAAAATACTGGAAGGGTTTGGTGGGCAGTGTCCTTTGGTTTTGGAGTTGTAGTTCACCTACATACATCCAGAGATCACTGTGAACTCAAACAATGATGGATCTCGACCAAACTACACAAATACTCAATATGCCCAAGTTCAGATGGAATCTCCTTTCTTGTAGTTTGAAGCCATTGTTTCGTGTCCTAGTCTCCAGGGAAGCAGAAAACAAGCTTGCTCCTCCTCCCTGTGGCTTCCTCTCACATATTTATACATGGCTATCATATCTCCTCTCAGCCTTCTCTTCTTCAGGCTAAACATGCCCAGCTCCTTAAGCCGCTCCTCATAGGGCTTGGTCTCCAGACCCTTGATCATTTTAGTCGCCCTCCTCTGGACACATTCCAGCTTGTCAATATCTCTCTTGAATTGTGGTGCCCAGAACTGGACACAATCTTCCAGGTGTGGTGTATTTTATTTATTTGTCGTGTCAGGAAAACCAGTCAAATTATATTACATTTCTAACAGAACAAAGCAAACAAACAGACAAAATACAAAATTTGTGAGTTTGGTAGTTGATTAAATGTCCTTTGACCAGTATCTGGCCACTTGGAGTGCCTCTGGTGTTGCTGCAAGGAGGTCCTCCATTGTGCATGTGGCAGGGCTCAGGTTGCATTGCAGCAGGTGGTCAGTGGTTTGCTCTTCTCCACACTCGCATGTCGTGGATTCCACTTTGTGGCCTCATTTCTGAAGGTTGGCTCTGCATCTCGTGCCAGAGCGCAGTCTGTTCCAAGTCGCCCAGTCCTCTGTGTACCCAGGGGGGAGTCTCTCATTTGGTATCAGCCTTGGATTGAGGTTCTGGGTTTGAGCCTGCCACTTTTGGACTCTCGCTTGCTGAGGTGTTCCAGCGAGTGTCTCTGTAGATCTTAGAAAATTATTTCTTGATTTAAGTCATTGACGTGCTGGCTGATACCCAAACAAGGATGAGCTGGAGATGTCACTGCCTTGGTCCTTTCACTATTGGCTGCTACTTCCCGGCGGATGTCAGGTGGTGCAATACTGGCTAAGCAGTGTAATTTCTCCAGTGGTGTAGGGCGCAGACACCCCGTGATAATGCGGCATGTCTCATTAAGAGCCACATCCACTGTTTTAGTGTGGTGAGATGTGTTCCACACTGGGCATGCATACTCAGCAGCAGAGTAGCACAGCGCAAGGGCAGATGTCTTCACTGTGTCTGGTTGTGATCCCCAGGTTGTGCCAGTCAGCTTTCGTATGATATTGTTTCTAGCACCCACTTTTTTGCTTGTTATATATTCAGGCCCCGGGGGGGGGGGACAGGGATTCTTGTAGCTAAGAGCAACGCGTCCAGCAGTGCTTCTTGTAGGTCAGAGCACGGTCCAGAGTGACTCCCAGGTATGTGGGTGTGCTGCAATGCTCCAGTGGGATTCCTTCCCAGGTGATCTTCAGAGCTCGGGATGCTTCTCTGTTCTTGAGATGAAAGGCACATGTCTGTGTTTTGGATGGGTTGGGGATCAGCTGGTTTTCCCTGTAATAGGCAGTAAGAGCACCTAGAGCTTCGGAAAGCTTCTGTTCTACCATCTCAAAGCTCCCTGCTTGAGCAGTGATGGCACGATCATCAGCATAGATGAAGCTCTCTGTCCCTTCTGGCAGTGGCTGGTCATTTGTGTAGATGTTGAACATGGATGGAGCAAGCACGCTCCCCTGAGGCAGGCCGTTCTTCTGTTTCCGCCATCTGCTTCTCTGGCCCTGGAACAACAAAAAAGCTCCTGTTTTGTAGCAGGTTTCCTATGAGGCGGGTGAGGTGGTAGTCCTTTGTGATGTTATACATTTTTCTCAGGAGGACAGTAGGCTGTTAAGAATGATGGGAGTTGGGAGTCCAAAACACCCGGAGGGCCGAAGTTTGACCTTGCCTGGTATAGCTGCAACCTGTAGGTTGAATGATTCTAATTGTAATATACAGTAGCTACGGAAGAAGGTAGAGCGTATGTACCCAATGTAAACCTTTCTAGAATTGTGTTAAAAGGGCATATTTGTGTTGTGAGTCCATGGCAACAGACTTGTGGTCAGTTTCTTGAAATAAGCCAAGGGATGATTCGAACCTCTGTGGGCGTCTTATTTTTTAAAGAAGTTAAATTGCAAGCACATCCTCTTATGGAAAGCCGTTACTTCTCCTCCACTGAAAGCGGAGTGTGTTGCTTTGCGGTTGCCAAGTCTTGAGAAGGTTTTATTTTAATTGGTGTCGGTGCAGCTTTAATAAAACAGGTTGGCACACCCTGGGAACGTAACCTCCTTTCTTTGACTAGGCGACGTTTCCTTTGCTGCCAGTGGCCTTGATGAAAGGAGGCTGTCTGAGGTTCTGAAGCTGCATTTCATCTTTCCAGATGAAAATGCAGCCGTTGACTTGTTTACATACGAGACGTCCTTTGAATAATTCAACGAGAGTTTTCTCCTGTCGCCCCTGTTTGTTCTGCCGCTTCACGCTGTCACCCCAGAATTTATGATATGTTTTGATGTCTCTTTGTTTCAGAGCGATCGCCTTTTGATCAAGGGTGGCAAAATAGTTAACGATGACCAGTCGTTCTATGCAGACATTTACATGGAAGATGGGTTAATAAAGTAAGTACCGACTGATTTTGTTTTGTTTATAATTGAATTGTACTAGCACAGTGTTACGAAATTAATTCTCATGGGCCGTTTGCAAAGCAAGGATTAGAGAGTGAATATGAAATATGGGATGCAATTGATTTATTTGTTTATTTACTATATTTCTATACCGTCCCTCTCAGCCCGCAGGCAACTCAGAGCGGTTCACAATTGGTGCCAAGACCATAAAATACAATTTCAACAGCCGAGGGACCACCACTGAGAAGGCCCTGTCGTTCCTGGCGGGAACAAGAGACAGGGCCTTCTCAGTGGTGGCCCCTTGGCTGTGGAATGCCCTTCCTATAGATGTCAGATCGGCCCCCTCCCTATTGGTGTTTCGGAGGAAAGTGAAGACCTGGCTGTTCGAACAAGCATTCAATTAAGCAGTGTAATTAATATAGGCAAAGGTTGTCCCCTGACTTTAAGTCCAGTCATGTCTGACTCTGGTGTGTGGTGCTCATCTCCATTTCTAAGCCGAAGAGCCAGCGTTGTCCATAGACACCTCCAAGGTCATGTGGCCGGCATGACCTCATGGAGCGCCGTTACCTTCCCGCTGGAGCGGTACCTATTGATCTACTCACATTTGCATGTTTTCGAACTGCTAGTTTGGCAGAAGCTAGGGCTGACAGCGGAAAGCTCACGCCGCTCCCCGGAATCGAACCTGCGACCTTTTGGTCAACAAGCTCAGCAGCTCAGTGCTTTAACCCACTGCGCCACAGGAACACGGAATAACGGATGATGAGATTGGATTCTGATTTTACTGATGAGACGCTAATGATTGTTATATTGATGTTTGATTGTTGATGATGCTATTGTTTTAACTGTCCCATAATCGTTCTATGATGTTTAGCAATGAATTTTGCTGTTGTTAACTGCTTTGAGTCGTCTGAGGGCTGAGAAAAGCGGTATATAAATGAAGCAAAATAAATAAATAAATAAATAAATAAATAAATAAAAATAATCGGATAATAAAACCATAACCAAATTAATAAAAACACGAACATTAGGGTCTCTTGTTAAAAACATTGTCCAATCACAACATCCAACCATTCCATTTTCTTATGTCTATTACACTGTATTTGGAAATGCCTGCTCGAACAACCAGGACTTCACTTTCCTCCGATATGTCAACAGGGAGGGGGTCGATCTAATATCTGTAGGAAGGGCGTTCCACAGCCGAGGGGCCACCACTGAGAAGGCCCTGTCTCTTGTCCCCGCCAAACGTACTTGTGACTCAGGCGGGGCCTCCCCAGACGATCTTAACGTCCTAGTTGGTTCATAGGAGGAGATGCGTTTGGACAGGTAAGTTGGGCCAGAACCGTTTAGGGCTTTATAGGCTAAAGCCAACACTTTGAATTGTGCCCGGTAGCAAACTGGCAGCCAGTGGAGCTGGCGTAACGGAGGAGTTGTGTGCTCCCTGAGCGCCGCTCCTGTTAGCAACCTGGCTGCCGTCCACTGGACCATTTGAGGCTTCCAGACAGTCTTCAAAGGCAACCCCATGTAGAGAGCATTGCAGTAGTCTATATTTATTTATTTAATGTACTACATTTATATACCGCCCCTCTCAGCCCAAGGACGACTCGGAGTGGTTAACAATAGGCAACAATTCGATGCTGGTGCAGTTACAACACATTAAAACAATGATAAATACTTTAAAATACTAACAGCAATATAAAAACATAAAAAACCCTACACAGCATTTAAAAACATTGTCAAAGCGTCTCTATCTCAAATCAATGTCCAGTTGCGTTGCCAATTGTCCATAATATCATATATCTATGCAACAACAACAATTTTTTATTGATTAGCCAGTTGGCCTTGTTAAAAACAGACAGTGCAGAAACAACATACAACATCCATCTAGTCCTCTTTACAAAATACAAATATATAGGTAGCCATAGATACAAGCCTTTATCTGTGCCATATTTGGGAAGGTCTGTTCAAAAAGCCAGGTTTTTACCATTCTTCGGAAAACAGGAGGGAGTGGGGCCAATCTTATCTCTCTAGGCAAGGTGTTCCACTGCCTCGAGGGGCCACCACTGAGAAGGCCCTGTCTCTCGTCCCCACCAGTTGTACTTGTGACGAAGTTGGGATCGAGAGCAGGGCCTTCCCAGACGATCTTAAAGTCCTGGAGGGTTCATAAGGAGAGATACGGGACGTAACCAGAGCATGGACTACCATGGCCAAGTCAGACTTGCCAAGATACAGGCTTGGACTGGACCTACCACTAATCCTAACCAGTGTAGCCAGTGGTTGAGATATTATGGGAGCAACTGTTCAGAAATATCTGGAGGAGTATAAGAAGCTACAATGTGCATTGGGGTGATCCACATTTGGCTCTGAGCCACATTTGACCCATAGGCTGGCATTGCTCTTTCCTCTAAATAAATACTTCTATATTAACATTGGGAAACTTTGGGTTCTCCAACTTTGACTGCCTGGAACTCCGGAGAATTCAGGTCTGAAACATCTGGAAAACCAGTCCCTACTAGAGGTGTACACGGTACCCGTTTCTCCCATTTCATTCGTTCTTTCATTCCGCGCAAGAGCCACAAAACGGGAATGAAAATTAGCTCAAAATGAAAGAAAGCTGGAATGGGTACCGTTTCCTTGCCTGCTTTTCGTGAGCACAATTTAATCTTTTTTATTAATCCCCCAGCAAACAAAAAGCAAACCCTCGTTTATTTATTTACTGTATTTGCATACCGCCTTTCTCAGCCTATCGGCGACTCAAGGCGGTTTCCAACAAAACAGTACACATCATATCATAATACAGATTAAAACACTAAAACAGTATAAAACACAACAAAAGCAATAAAAACAACATCATTAGCGTCTCCTTATTGTCAAGCATTGTCCATTTCCATCTTCAAGTCATTTGATTTCCTATATCAGTTACGCTCATTTGTAAACGCTTGCTCATACAAACTTGCCTCTGAAACACTTATAGGGAGGGGGCCGATCTAATCTCAGTAGGGAAAACGTTCCATAGCCTAGGGGCCACCGCTGAGAAGGCCCTGTCTCTTGTCCCCACCAGACGAAGGCGGGATCGAGAGCAGAGCCTCCCCAGACGATCTCAAAGTCCTCGTTTACTGTCCTCTTCCAAGAAGTCATCACTCTTCCTTATCTGGAAGTGGGAAGATTCCTTAAAATGTCTTGGAGAGTGCATGGCGACCAAAGCACTCTTCTTGTCCCTCCTCCTCGGCTCTTGGAGCTGCCACTGTAGGTCGTTGCTGTGAAGGAGGGAAGAGGAGGGGGGCTGGAGTCACCTTCTTTGCATGAGAGATGGAGGAGGAAAAGGAGAGGAAGGCACCTAGTCAGGCAGCAGCAGCAAGTGAGGACCCAACGCGGCAGCTCCAAGACAAGCAATGCCATTGCCAAAAATGATGGAAAGTGTTGAACTCCAGGACAGGAAAAGCCCTCTGACTTTAAACACTACACCATTGGATAGGGAAACAATCTTTTTATTGAAGATAATTAAAAAGCAAAAAAGGTAAAAAAACACTTTAAAGAAATAGGTAAATCCAATTAGGTAGGAAGATAAGCAGGAACAAAGTAGTCCAGGGTAATAGTCCAGCAAAGTCAATAAAAACAAAGTCAAAACTTCCCAAATAAAATGCAAGAAATCAGGAAACATGAATCCAGGACATGAATATAAAAGCATAGAATCCAAGAATCAAAACCATGAAACAAAGGCACTTAAAACACAAATTTTCCAAGCCAAGCTTCCATGAAACAAGGACGAGGTCTTGACTTGATTCCAAACGATGCTTCATGTGACTAGATATCCTGTACTTGGGACTTTTCTCGTTAGGTATGTCTCTAGCACTCAGAAGTTGGTTTGGCTTTAGCTGAGAATTTCTTTTTTTTATTTTTAGCTTTAGATGAGAATTTCTTATCTTTTTCTCCTAGAGCCTGGCAGAACGCCAAAGCCACTGTTCGGCTCTCCTGTTTTGACGAATCCCCTCGCATCTATCTATTTGCTCATTATCCATTTGCTCATTAATTTCTGCAGCTGGGCCAGGTGCCGAGCTGTTTTCATGTTCCCTATCGTGGGAACTCTCTGGTAAGAATTCATCTGGAGAGACCCTGTTCACGATCCCTCCTGCGCCGCAAGCGCGTTTGGTGGGGACGAGGGACAGGGCCTTCTCTGTGGTAGCCCCCCGACTCTGAAACTCTCTCCCCAAGAACATCAGACAAGCCCCAACGTTGGTAGTCTTTAGGAAAAGCTTGAAGACCTGGCTGTTCCAGTGTGCCTTTCCAAAATAGGTCGGTGGTTCATATCCGGGGAGCGGGGTGAGCATCATGTCCCAAACGCACTTTACCAGAGATTTAAGATTGCCTGCACATCGCACCTACCCTAAAATTCTTACATTTCACCTGTCATGTCCAGCACTTTTAATTTATTCATTACACTTGGCCCGGCCCTAGTTTTAAATGTGTCATGATGTATTGTTTTAATGTTTTACTGTTATTGCTTTAATGTTTATTGTTTTGCTTTATGAGTTTTATTGTTGTATTTGTTATGCTGTTGTTTTATTGAGGGCCTTGGCCTTTGTAAGCCGCACCGAGTCCTTCGGGAGATGTTAGCGGGATACAAATAAAGATAATAATAATAATAATAATAATAATAATAATAATAATAATAATAATAATAAAGAAAGCATATTTTGGGTACTTTTACCCCGCCCTTCTCAACCCCCGAGGGGGGACTCAGGGCGGCTTACAAAAAGGCACAATTCGATGCCTATACAAATTACACATAATGTACAAACCACCATCGTTAAAACAATTTTCACAGTTAAAACAGTCAAAACAATCAATATACAACATATCCTATAAAAACTATTCACACGCTCAAGCGTTCGTCTTTCAGAGTTCCAAATTCCATTCCATTAGTCATTTTATTTATTTATTTATTTATTTATTTAAAAGTTTTATATACCGACCTTCTCACCTCTCTTGAGGGACTCAGACCGGTTTCCAACCATAATATCATATACAGTCAATAAAACATCATACTTCATATTGCAATAAAACATTAAAACATTAAAAACAGTAATTACATTCAATAAATACACTACAATGGTCAGTCGTCACACTAAATTTGATGTTCATCATCCTCTATCCATATCTCAGGGTGTTGGCTCACTCATCGAATTCCTGTCTCCATAACCACGTCTTCACCTGCTTCCTGAATGTCAGGATAGAAGGGGTGGTTCTGATCTCCAGTGGGAGAGAGTTCCAGAGTCGTGGGGACAGCACCGAGAAGGCCCTGTCCCTCGTCCCCACCAGACGCGCTTGCGAGGCCGGTGGGACCGAGAGCAGGGCCTCTCCAGGCGACCTTAATAATCTTGATTGAATACGTTCGGAGAGGTAAACAAGGCCGGAGTCGTTTAGGGCTTTATAGGTTAACACCAGCACTTAGAGTTGTGCTCGGAAGCTAATTGGCAGCCAGTAGAGCTGGTGTAACAGCGGAGTGGTGTGCTCCCTGTACCCAGCACCCGTCAGTAGTCTGGCTGCCGAGCGTTGGACTAGCTGCAGCTTCCGGGCAGTCTTCAGAGGCAACCCCACGTAGAGAGCATTGCAGTAGTCTAAACGGGATGTAAGCAAGGCGTGGACCACCGTGGCCAAGTCAGACTTCCCAAGGAACGGGCGCAGCTGGCGCACAAGTTTTAATTGTGCAAAAGCTCCCCTGACCACCGCCGAAACCTGGGGCTCCAGGCTCAGCGATGAATCTAGGAGAACTCCCAGACTGCGAACCTGCGCCTTCAGGGGGAGTGTGACCTCATCCAGCACAGGCTGTAACACTATGCCCTGTTCGGCCTTACGACTGACCAGGAGTACCTCTGGTCATTTCCTGGCCATTGTCAAAATCCTTTCTTTATCTGCCCGATTGTCCAAATGCCTGGTCCCAAATCCATGTTTTCAGTTTTTTCCTGAAGGAAAGGAGTGATGTTGCTGATCTAATTTCCCCGGGGAGCGAATTCCACAGGTGGGGGGCCACCACTGAGAAGGCCCTGCTCTTCGGCCCGCCAACCTCACTTGTGATAGAGGCGGGGTCGAGAGCAGGGCCTCCCCAGAAGATCTTAGACTACGGGGTGGGACGTAGAGGGAGATCCGTCCGGACAGATACACTGGGCCGGAACCGTATAGGGTTTTGTAGGTCAAAACCAGCACTTCGAATTGTGCTCGACCCCTTTCTCAATCCCCGAGGGGGGACTCAGGGCGGCTTACAAAAAGGCACAATTTGATGCCGGCACAATAACGAGATAAAACCATTCAACATATAAACAGTAATTAACCAATTAAACAATTTAAACAGTCCATTATATTTCACAATCCCTAAAAAACAATCTAGTGCTCAATGTTTATAGCTCAGAGTCCGTAAATTCAAAATCCACATTGTCCAATCCAACAATTCTAGTCTTTGCTTGTGCCTTATCTATCCGCCAGATTACCCGAAGGCCTGGTCCCAAATCCATGTTTTTAATTTCCTTCTAAAGGAAAGGAGGGATGTTGATGACCTAATTTCCCCGGGGAGCGAATTCCACAGGTGGGGGGCCACCACCGAGAAGGCCCTGCTCTTCGGCCCGCCAACCGCACTTGTGATAGAGGCGGGGTCGAGAGCAGGGCCTCCCCAGAAGATCTTAGACACCAGGGTGGGACATAGAGGGAGATCCGTTCGGACAGATACACTGGGCCGGAGCCGTATAGGGTTTTGTAGGTCAAAACCAGCACTTTGAATTGTGCTCGGAACTGGATCGACATCACTTCCCACATCCAAAGCACCCTGATCCTGAAACGCAATCACAGGCTGAGCTCCAACAGGAAGGGAAGAGGAATTCCCCCTCCCCATTGCTTCCAGTTAAAGAAGCAGTGAAATAATGGGACAGGGCACTGGGCTGTATGTGTGGTGTGTGGAGCATCTTTGACATTTGGCAGGAAGGAATAATGCCTTGCCTTGCCTCCCTTCTGCTGCTGCTCTTGGAGAAGTTAGAGGGCAGGACCAGTGGAGGGGAAAACGGGAATGTTTTTAAGGAGATTTTATTTACAGAAAGAAAAAAATCCCCAAAAATCAGGGGAGGGCCCAAATGTTCTAAAACTCGGTGGGCTAAAAGTGGTAGGTTTGCCCTCCATGTGTGGCAATTTTCACCCCTCTAACCTAAAAAGAAGGGGAAGGGGAGCCAGGGGAAGTCGGCCCATAGTGGCCAGTGGATTGAAAAATTTTCATTTTTTCGGATGCGGAACGAAAATGCCCATTCGAAAAGGCGCCCGTTTTCGGGCGGTGCGTGAAAACGAAAATGGAAGCTTACGAACGAATGAAACAAACAGAAATGGTTAGCGATTCTATACAAAAATACACATGCCTAGTCCCTACCAGTTTATATTTTTTATTGACTTTCTTATGGTTTTATATTATTGTAATGTTTTTAATTATATTTTAGGGTCTTGGTATTGACTCTAGACAACCCCAATGGCTGCTCCCAGGCTTATTATTATTATTATTATTATTATTATTATTATTATTATTATTATTATTAAACTTTATTTGTACCCCGCTAGCATCTCCCGAAGCTCCCGAAGGACTCAATGCGGCTTACACAGGCCAAGGCCTCAACACAACAACAGCATAACAACAACAATACAATTCAAAGCAAATCAAAAACATAAAGCAATAACAACAAAACATTACACCATAACACAATAAAAACCAGGGCCGGGCCAAGTGATGGGTACAGATTAAAAAGTGCTGGGTGTGACAGGTGGTATGTTGGATTTCAGGGCAAGTGCAATGTGCAGAGAGTCTTAAACTCTAATAAAGTGCTTCTGGGACATAGTGCTGGGGTTTTCCTATTCTGGAAAGGCACATCGGAATAGCCAGGTCTTCAAGTTCTTCCTAAAGACTGCCAACATGGGTGCTAGTCTGATGTCTTTGGGGAGAGTGTTCCAAAGTCGGGGGGCAACCACAGAAAAGGCCCTGTCTCTCGTCCCCATCAAACGCGCCTACGACGCAGGTGGGATCGCGAGCAGGGCCTCTCTGGATGAACGAAGGGAACGCATGGGTTCATAGACGGAGATGCGGTCACGCAGATAGGGAGGTCCCAAACCGTTTAGGGCTTTGTAGGTAAGCACCTGCACCTTGAATTGGGCTCGGAAGGTAAACGGCAGCCAATGGAGCTCCTTAAACAGTAGGGTTGACCTCTCTCTGTAAGGAGCACCAGTTAACATACTGGCCGCTGCCCATTGGACCAGTTGGTATTTCCGAGCCGTTTTCAAGGGCAGCCCCACGTGGAGCGCATTACAGTAGTCCAATCTAGAGGTGACCAAGACATGGACCACCCTGGCCAGATCAGCTTTCGCGAGGTATGGTCGCAGTTGGCGCACGAGTCTCAATTGTGCAAAAGCCCTCTTGGACACCACCGACGCCTGAGCCTCAAGCGTAGGTAAGCTTTTGGCCTCCTGCTCTGAGTAGGCTAGGATGAGACTCTCCTTGATGACATTTCTGCTGAACATGCTGACAGAAAGGTCAGCGGTTCAAATCTGGGGAGCGGGGTGAGCTCCCGCTATTAGCCCCAGCTCTTGCCAACCCAGCAGTTTGAAAACATGCAAATGTGGGTAGATCAGTAGGTACCGCTTCTGCTGGAAGGTAACAGCGCTCCATGCAGTCATGTTGGCCACATGAACTTGGAGGAGTCTATGGACAATGCCGGCGCTTTGGCTTTGAAATGGAGATGAGCACCACTTCCCAGACTGAAACCTTTACCTTTACCTTAGCAGCTGACTCCACCTTTGAGATTGATGCAGGCATGTTTACTTAGTGATTCAAATGATAACAGGCAGAGCAGATGTGATAGGCTACTATTTATCTTCCCTGGGGTGGAAATGAATGGCTCCATTCATGTGATCCCATGATTGCTGGGAAGTTCTGGAAGTAAGGCTATGCAGCTGTGGCCGGGAAGCTTAGGAAAGTTTAGCGGCAGACATGGCCTTGTGCTTGAATTTGGCAATATGTTTCATCTTCTGTGCGTGACTCTGCCTCAATATGTCTTCTCAGACAAATAGGAGAGAATCTGATTGTGCCGGGGGGAGTGAAGACGATCGAAGCCCACGGACGGATGGTCATCCCCGGAGGAATCGATGTCCACACTCGCTTCCAGATGCCGGACCAAGGGATGACCTCTGTCGACGACTTCTTCCAAGGAACGAAAGCGGCTCTGGCTGGAGGCACCACCATGATCAGTAAGGCGGCTTGATGAATTCTAGGGCAAATGAGGAATGAGTTTTGGAGTTGTAGTTCACCTACACCAGAGAGCCCTGTGGACTCAAACAATGATGGATCCGGAACAAAATAGGCACAAATACTCATTATACCAAAATGTGTACACTGGTGGAGTTTGGGGGGAAACAGACCTTGACATTTGGGAGTTGTATTTGCTGGGATTTATAGTTCACCTACAATCAAAGAGCATTCTGAACCCCACCAATGATGGAATTGAACCAAACTTGACACACAGAACTCCCATGACCAATAGAAAATACTGGAAGGGTTTGGTGAGCATTGACTTTGAGTTTTGGAGTTGTAGTTCACCTACAACCAGAGAGCACTGTGGATTCAGACAATGATAGATGTGGACCAAACTTGGCACAAATAGTCAATATGCCCAAATGTGAACACTGATGGAGTTTGGGGAAATAGAATTTGGGAAAATAGACTGTGACATTTGGAAGTTGTAGTTGCTGGAATTTATAGTTCACCAACAATCAAAGAGCATTCTGAACCCCACCAATGATGGAATTGAACTAAACTTGGCACACAGAACTCCCATGACCAACAGAAAACATGGGAAGGGTTTGGTGGGCATTGACCTTGAATTTGGGAGTTGTAGTTCACCTACACCCAGAGAGCACTGTGGACTCAGACAATGATACATCTGGCACCAATACTCAGTATGCCCAAATGTGAACACTGGTAGAATTTGGGGAAAATACACCTTGACATTTGGGAGTTGTAGCATTCTGAACTCCACCAACGATGGAATTGAACCAACCTTGGCATACAGAACTCCCTTGACCAACAGAAAATACTGGAAGGGTTTGATGGGCATTGACCTTGAGTTTTGGAGTTGTAGTTCACCTACATCCAGAGAGCACTGTGGACTCAAATAAAGATGGAACTAGGCCAAACTTGGCACTGGTGGAGTTTAGGGAAAATAGACCTTGACATTTGGGAGTTGTAGCATTCTGAACCTCACTAATGATGGAATTGAACTAAACTTGGCACACAGAACTCCCATGACCAACAGAAAACATGGGAAGGGTTTGGTGGGCATTGACCTTGAATTTGGGAGTTGTAGTTCACCTACACCCAGAGAGCACTGTGGACTCAGACAATGATAGATCTGGACCAAACTTGGCAACAATACTCAATATGCCCAAATGTGAACACTGGTAGAATTTGGGGAAAATGGACCTTGACATTTGGGAGTTGTAGCATTCTGAACTCCACCAACGATGGAATTGAACCAACCTTGGCATACAGAACTCCCTTGACCAACAGAAAATACTGGAAGGGTTTGATGGGCATTGACCTTGAGTTTTGGAGTTGTAGTTCACCTACATCCAGAGAGCACTGTAGCCTCAAATAAAGATGGAACTAGACCAAACTTGGCACTGGTGGAGTTTAGGGAAAATAGACCTTGACATTTGGGAGTTGTAGCATTCTGAACCTCACCAATGATGGAATTGAACGAAACTTGGCACACAGAACCCTCATGACCAACACAAAATACTGTGTTTTCTGATGGTCTTTGGTGACCCCTTTGACACCTCCTCGTGACCCCCCAGGGGTCCCGACCCCCAGGTTGAGAAACACTGCTATAGGAAGAGCTTTTTCATCCAATCCGTAACCAAATTAGGAAAGAATTGGAGCAGAAGGGGCCATCCCTTCCATCAATGGATTAACATCAGCAGAATCTTCATGGATGGAAATTTCCAATGTCCTGAAATGGTCTCCAAAACAAGGGTGCCAGTGTTCGCAGTAGTTAGAGCTACCGAAATAAATAAATACTGTCTTGCTTGATATTATCCCTCCCACCAGCTGCTCTGATACGATTTTGGAGCTACCCAAAGACAAGCAATGCCATTTTACAACATGCCCCAAATTTCCCTGGGTCCACTGCATCCCTGAAATGGTACCAAAACGGGCATGTCACCAATTGTCATTTCTCTTCTTGCATGAAAGGAGCTTGCATTAAAAACCGATCTGTTCCCCGGAACGGAGGGATTAATATATTATTGCGTGAAGCGTTTAATTGCGGGTGCTGCTCCAGAAAAAAAGATGCCAAATCCTTCCTGTCATATTCCGAGTTGGAAGGGAATAAAATATCTAGGTCAGCCATCCCGTTGCGTCTGCAGAAAAGAGGGCAACTCTAACATTGTCATTCCAACACTCGTCAGCTGTCAGCCAAGCAAAGCGTGCCATCGCTTTCCCCAAGACACATTATAGAGCACGAAGCATCACTGAATAGGTCCTCTAAAGATTAATTCAAAGCCAAATGTAAAGGCATTCCTCAACAAAGCTGGCAATGTGTTTTTGTGGAAATCCATCCTTCACTTTGATCTCTGTGTTTCTCAACCGGGGTGTCGTAATCCCTGAGTGGGGTCGCGAGGGGCCATCATATGGGTCGCCAAAGAGCATCAGAAAACGTAGTATTTTCTGTTAGCAACGAGAGTTCTGTGTGGGAAGTTTGGCCCAATTCTATCATGGGTGGGGTTCAGAATATTCTTTGATTGTAGGTGAACTATAAATCCCAGCAACTACAACTCCCAAATGTCACGGTCTATTTTCCCCAAATTCTACCAGTGTTCACATTTGGGCATATTGAGTATTTGTGTCAAGTTTGGTCCAGATCCATCATTATTTGAGTCCACAGTGCTCTTTGCATGTAGGTGAACTACAACTCCAAAACTCAAGGTCAATGCCCATCAAACCCTTCCAGTATTTTTTGTTGGTCATGGGAGGCCTGTGTGCCAAGTTTGGTTCAATTCCATCATTGGTGGAGTTCAGAATGATCTTTGATTGTAGGTGAACTATAAATCCCAGCAACTAAAACTCTCAAATGTCAAGGTCTATTTTCTCAAAACCCTATCAGTGTTTATATTTGGGCATATTGAGTATTTGTGCCAAGTTTGGTCTATTTCCATCTTTGTTAGAGTCCACAGTGCTCTCTGGATGTTGGTGAACTACAACTCCCAAACTTAACGTCAGTACCCATCAAACCCTTCCAGGATTTTCTGTGATCATGGGAGTTCTGTGTGCCAAGTTTGGTTCAATTCCATAGTTCAGAATACTGAAATATTCTGAATACTTCAGTTCAGAATACTCTTTGATTGTAGGCAAACTATAAATCCCAGCAACTACAACCCCCAAATGTCAAGGTGTTTTTTTCCCAAACTCCACCACTGGAGCTGGCGTAACAAAGGAGTTGTATGTTCCCTGTATGCCGCTTTGGTGGGCAACATGGCTGCCAACCATTGGATTAGTTGAAGCTTCCGGGCAGTCTTCAAAGGCAGCCCCATGTAGAGTACACTGCAGTAGTCTATTTGGGATGTTACTTTCTTACTTACTTAGGTGATCCCTCCGAGGATGATGGTCCTCCAAGTTCGGTGTCCTGGGGGTGGGTGCGGAGGTGGCTGTGGAGCCCTATTCTTGATCTGCATCTTCTCCCGCAGTGAGGACATCAGGTTCCAGGTGGAAGGCGGTCCCGGTCGGGGTTGACTTGACGCGCTTTTCTCTTGGCACGTTTCTCTCTTTTGCCCCCCGTTCGTGCCTCTTCAAATTCTACAGCACTGCTGGTCACAGCAGACCTCCAGCTGGAGCGCTCAAGGGCCAGGGCTTCCCAGTTCTCAGTGTCTATGCCAGAGTTTTTAAGGTTGGCTTTGAGGCCATCTTTCAATCTCTTTTCCTGTCCTCCAACATTCCGTTTTCCGTTTTTACGTTCAGAGTAGAGCAGCTGCTTTGGGAGACGGTGGTTGGGCATCCGGACAACATGGCCAGGCCATCGGAGTTGATGGCGGAGGACCATTGCTTCAATGCTGATGGTCTTTGCTTCTTCTTCCAGCATGCTGACATTTGTCCGCTTGCCTTCCCAAGAGATTTGCAGGATTTCCGGAGGGATTTTCAGGAGTTGCATGTGACGTCTGTAGACAGTCCATGTTTCGCAGGTGTAAAGCACGGTTGAGAGGACAATAGCTTTATAGACAAGCACCTTGGTCTTCCTACGGATGTCCCGGTCCTCAAACACTCTCTGCTTCTTTCGGAAAGATGCTGCACTTGTAGAGCTCAGGCGGGGTTGTATTTCAATGTCAATGTTGACTTTGGTGGAGAGGTGGCTGCCAAGGGAGCGGAAATGGTCCACATTTTCTAATGTGACACCATTAAGCTGTATGTCTGGCATTGGAGAGGGATTGGCTGGTGACTGCTGGAAGAGCACTACAAGGGGGAAAACATACACACACACACACAAAATATTGGGAGAAACCATTTCAGGTTCCTAGGCGGTAAGGTTTTTGTTTTGAGGAAACAGAGAAAAAACTTTGAAAAAAATAAGAAGAAGCTCCAATGCCTCCCAAGGAACCCTTCTTTGTATTTTTGGAAACTCTTATTATATTGTCCATTTTTGTGTGTGTCAGGAGATATTTTATTTATTTATTTAGAAGTTTTATATACCGGTTGCGAAGCCGTGACTCCCACCGCTTGTTACTAAAAATTTAAAACCGTTCACTTGCTGCCACCAAAATATGTGAGGAAGTCTCCAAAATGAAATAATGGTGTAAAATCCCAAATAAATAGGATCACCACACAGATGTAATAAAGATTTGAGACTTCTAGCTTAAATTGCCACCATAATATAAGTGATATTGGTAAAAATGATCTCTGGTTATCCTTATCTGTGTTGTGAGGCACCTTGGGTAGTGTGGAATGCTTCAAACGTGGAAATCAGTGAAGGAGGCAAGTTTAAAACACAAAAAGAACAGGTTTATTGTTATCAGAGCGTAAATTGTTGCAAAATTAAACTGTTGAACTTGGCACAAGCTTGATGGATACAAAATGGCTTGGTTGAGTTACATTAAGTCTTCCGATGTTACAATCCTTTAACTCTTTCTACAGTGAGGTACTTTATTATTTCAGTGTTCCCTATTGTGAATATTTACAACTGTTTGTCCTTCACCGGATCAAA